GTTCTGATTCGTCAGTATGGAATCCTCACCATTCAGCGTTAATCAAACGCTGCTTGGGCTCTAACGACAGAAACACATCTCTCTACCAATAGTTACTTTTTTCCCAGCAGTTATCAGTTTGGTGCTCTCATGCTGTAATCCCCCACAGCACAAATACAGTGAGATTTTAGTGATGTTTTTTGGCTTTAAATCATTATGACTTCCTGACACATGACTGCATATGGTTAACATTTGTGTGTGGGACATATAATCGCTGTCTGATGCAAAAAATCTATCTCCCAAAATACATTATTTCAGGAGCAAAAAACACTTTCTCAGAAACAACTTTGCACAACTTCAATGGACGTATCTGGATTGTTGTCACACATCAAGTCGTAGTGTAGTACTTTATTGACCCTAAAAAAATTCCAAAAAGGCTACAGCAGCACACACAAAGGTGAGATCAAACGGTACATAAACCATAGAAAAAGACACTATACTAAAGATGCAATACAAAATTGCAATGTACAGTGTGAAGTATTTAAAAAAATATCACTAGAGGGCTGGTGACTGAGTGAGGTTCGGGGTCATGGGGGACACTTATTGTAGCGTCTGATGGCCGCTGGGAGAAAAGACAGATAGCGCTCGCTGGAACAGCACAGCTGTGTCAGCCTGTTGCAGAACGTACTTCTCTGAGCAGGGTGTGATGGAGAGGGTGTGAGGCATTGTCCAGTACGGAGCAGATCTAATTGTTTTCCTTCGGGTAGTTGTTTCAAAGGAGTCCAGGTGGATTCCCAGACCAGAGACAGCCTTCTTAATGAGTTTATTGAGCTTGAGTCCCTTCTTGTAGCATTGTTGCCCCATCACACCACAGCATAGACCCAATGTTAAGCTGCAGCTGGTTTTTATTGCATCACTCAAAGCCCTTCACCAGGTTTCTATATTCCCCTTATTGACCTTCTCTGATACAATCAACTATGGGTGTCACCAGAACATTTCTGCAAGTGTCAGTCACAGGGTTGTTAAGTCAGCTGTATCAGGGTGAACAGGAAGGGAGACAAGACCGTCCCCGGGGCTCCCCAGTGCTGCTCACAACAATGTTAGAGACAAAGCCAAGGAGTCTCAAACTGCAGTCTGCCCATCATGTTTTCCCACATTCCAGAAGAAAGTGGACATGTCTGTCAGGAACTCTGAAGTATCTGTCAAGAGGGCAAGGCATGGTGCAGACAAGAAAAGTGGATGATCCACTGGTCGCTCCACAGGAACACAGGAGTTTATTAACAGAATAAGAAAAAACTGGGAATACAACAAAACAAACAGACCACAAGGAATCAAAACTAAAAAGGGGTACAAAGTAACTAACAATATCTGCAAAGGTGAGACTGGTTACACAGAATCCAGAAAGTCAACAAGAACACAATCAATGACTCCACAGAGAAGAGGGCAGGATCAGGTACTTTTATACAGAGGGTTAACAAGGAAACACTGGACAGGTGAGAACAACCGGGAGGCTTGAGGGAAACAGCACACAGGTGAATCTAATAAACTTAATCATGAAACAAACTAGGAAACAGCTTGTAACACTTGGGGAATATCAGACAGGTAAAACACAACCATGGGCACAAAGCAAAAAACCTAAACAGGGAAGTATTCCATGAAGCAGGATTAAGGGAAAGTCTAACTTATTTCAACAAGTCTGGCTCATTTAAGTGGGAATTCCGTTCCATCAACATGTCTTAAATGATTCCCTGCTGAGCTTCCATAACTTAGGCAAGTGAACAAGTCTGTTCCGGACCAGGGGCCTCATGTATAAACGGTGCACACGCATGAAACGGAACCTAAAAGATGCGTACGCCTCTTTCTACGCAAACGTTGTGATCTATAGAAACAAACTTGACGGCAGAATGTGCGCATACTGTATGTACGTGAACTCTGACCCATGCGTGCAAACATTTTCGAGAAAAAAATATGACAGCAGGTGAGCAAAAACGTGAGTGGCATCAATACATAAATAATAATTCCTTGTGCTAGTGAGTCATACACCATACATTTAATTTCACTTATTCAGTCACATATTTATAATAGTGAATAAATATATAAGTAAAATATATCATCGAACTGGATGTGCTGGCATTGTTGAAGATTACACCAATGGCAGAATTAGAAGGGAACGGGTGTTCAGGGACCATGAAGATTTTCGGCCCATGATGATGACTGGCTCATAAGCCAATTTAGGTTACCTAGATGTGTGCTTTTGGAGCTATGTGCTGAACTGGGTCCAATGTTAGAGAGACCAACCCGACGGAACCGCGCAATCCCAGTACAAATACAGGTACTGACAACCCTGGGGTACCTTGCAACTGGCTGTTACTCGAGGGAATTAGCCGACAGACATATGTTATAATTAACAATAAAACTGTGCATTTGTTCTAAAGCTTGTTTAGGAAATACAATAATAATCTAATTGTGTTTAATTGTATTGTAGGTCTGGGATATCACAACCATCACTAAGTTCAATAATACCTGTCGTTTTGGATGGGATTATTAAAATGACTAGTATTACCACCATGCCACTGTACTAAGTATTTAGTCTGTCTGCAATTCATTGCCAAGCCAACTCCCTGCCTGTATTTATGGCCACAGTATTGCCTTTTTAGCGATAACATCTTTGCATTTTTCATACAGCTCCATCAACAGCGTTTGTTCTGCTGCGGAAAAAAAACACCGCTCTCGTTTTACACGCTTTCCGTCTCATTTGGTCGATCTATCGTTCATCCATTCATCTGGGCTTCTAAAGTATCTCGGGTGTGTGCACTAAGTGAGACTAAGCAAGTCTGTCTTGTATGAGCCTTGATTAATTAAAGCTGAACTGCGTTAGTGGAACGACATGGGGCTAAGTTTAGAGATGGTGTGAGTTTGAGTCTGACTTTTTTTGGGAAAGTCTGGTTTTCTTTAGCGACTTTCATGGAATACCCCCCTGAATAAGTCACAAAACTCAGGAACTAGAAAAACTGATACAAATGAAACACTAGGGAAGAAAATCTACAATGTTACATTTATATAATTCCTTGGTAAGACCCCACCTAGAATTTTGTGTGCAGGTTTGGTCATCATACCTTAAGAAGGACATTGCTGCCTTAGGAAAGGTGCAACAGAGGGCTACGAGAATGATTCCTGGTCTTATGAGAGGTTAGCTGAGCTGAATCTGTTTAACCTTGAGCAAAGGAGACTAAGGGGGGATATGATTCAGGTCTGTAAGATTCTAACGGGTCTGGATGCTGTTCAGCCAAATGGCTATTTCAATATTAGTTTAAATACTTTAACTCGTGGCCATAAGTGGAAATTAACAAATTGGAGGAAGCACTTCTTTACACAGCATGTAGTTAGAGTATGGAATAGTCTTCCTGCTAGTGTAGCGGAAGCTAAAACCCTGGGTTCCTTTAAATCAGAGCTAGATAAGATTAACAACTCTGAGCTATTAGTTAAGTTCTCCCCAAACGAGCTTGATGGGCCGAATGGCCCCTTCTCATTTGTAAATTTTATATTCTTAAGGGAGACTTCATGCTTGCAGCTTGTCAAATAACTCCCATGTCCATGAACATTACTACTGCAATGTAACTTCAAACATTTTCCTCAGCTGCATAGCAAGCATTGAGCTTAACTGAGAAAGACAAAAACTAACCAATAATACTGGCCTGACCCCAACCTAAAAAGTTTATTAGTTCTGATATGGAAATGTTAGAAAGGTCCTTACAAACAAATGCTCTTAGTTATATTAATCAAATAAATTATTTCTTTAAAGTAATGCTGGGATTTGAGTATTGTATAATTATTCTTATATTTTGTAATTTAAGTTTAACTGACTAATGGCAGTTACACAGCACGCTCAGCTCATTGAGTCATGCGGCAGTCTGGGGAGCAGGGTAAACCACTACAGACTGACAACAGGGAGGACAGGATGGCCAGTGACATCTGCTGGCCAAATGAGGCAGCAGCATGAAAGGCTGGGACAGATGGGTGCAAACCTGACATGTACACATGCATGAGACAAAGCACTAGTCCTATGCTGTTGAAAGCACTTCAGGAATCAAAACACGATACAGTGATGCCAGTCTTGTCCAGGACGCAATAAAGAGTGAATGAATTTATAGTGCATTAATCACATTACATTCTCAAAGCGCTTTGCAGCATCCCCAACCAAAACCCCCAGTGAGTAAGCCATAGGTGACAGGGGCAAGGAAAAACTCCCTAGAAGGAAGAAACCTTGGGAGGGACCAGACTCAAAGGGAGAGACACCACATCCACTCCAATGTGAGGCACTATGCCAATGTCAATCTACAAAGTAATTTCACTTTGAATTTTCAATTAATCATGTCAGTCATCTTACACACTACACTGGTAGAATTAGATATCCATATAATGCAACTGCCAAGTACCAAAAAAATCCCCCCCATTAGTAAATTGGATCAGATAGAAAATGGGAATCACATTTTAAATCCTATTGTCCCAAGACAAAGTTCAAGAACAGATCTGTCCCTACCAATGGTGAGTACCATGTGTTGGGCCAGGAGGCAGGTCTGGGCCACTTCAGTCTGTACTGATGTTGGAAGGAAACCTACAACCTTGCTGTTGTCCCAGGATAGTTTAGAATTTAAGGTGGTCATACTGAGTTCGGCAAGTGAAAGTGGTAGCCAAGAAATAAGCAGACAACTGCACCATTTCAAATACTACTAGTGCTTTATTCAGTCACAAGACAGTGCCCTTGGTCTCCAGCACAGCTGCAACCAGAGGGAAGCAACACCATAAGTAGCAGAACATGCCAGGCAAGGTGTGGCTCCTCTCAGCCTGGTACCATGCACAGCTTGGTACATTAGGGCAGTAGGTACCTATCCCTTCAGCATATACAGCTGTCCAGGCTGACTACCCATGGGAGGACCCTGTTGGATAGCAATGGGACCCAGAACACCTGTGCCTTGAGCACCTGCAGGGGCAAGAAGGGTGCCTCAGTCACACNTGCACAAGCACCACAACAGAATCCTCCCCACATACAACACTCACACTATCAGGGCTCACTTGCATTCCAGTCACAGATTTAACCAGAGAAGGAGCCACTTGCTTGCCCAGATAGCCAGTCGCCGCCACCTTGGAAGCCCCTACGCCAACCTGATAGCCGGTCGCCGCCACCTGCGGAGCCCCTACGCCAACCTGATAGCCAGTCGCCGCCACCTGGGGAGCGCCTGCGCCAACCTGATAGCTGGTCCCAAACACCTTGGGACCACCTACGCCAACCTGATAGCTGGTCGAAGCCACCTGGGGAGCGCCTACGCCAACCTGATAGCCGGTCGCCGCCACCTGGGGAGCACCTACGCCAACCTGATAGCCGGTCGAAGCCACCTGGGGAGCGCCTGCGCCAACCTGATAGCCGGTCCCAAACACCTTGGGACCACCTACGCCAACCTGATAGCTGGTCGAAGCCACCTGGGGAGCGCCTACGCCAACCTGGAAGCCGGTTGCCGCCACCTGGGGAGCGCCTGCGCCAACCTGATAGCCGGTCCCCGACACCTTGGGACCACCTACGCCAACCTGATAGCCGGTCGAAGCCACCTGGGGAGCGCCTACGCCAACCTGGAAGCCGGTTGCCGCCACCTGGGGAGCGCCTGCGCCAACCTGATAGCCGGTCCCCGACACCTTGGGACCACCTACGCCAACCTGATAGCCGGTCGAAGCCACCTGGGGAGCGCCTACGCCAACCTGGAAGCCGGTCGAAGCCACCTGGGGAGCGCCTACGC